TGATTCCTTGTGTTTGTTCCTTTGTACTGAAACTCTGACACAACAATTTCCTGTAGGATCAATAAAGTTCTATTTTATGTGATCTTATTATTGTTTCTAGCTTTTGTCTGCAAATTTATTTAACCAAATCATCAACAGATGATGTCTGTCCATCCATCCATATATTATCTTTACCCGTTTCTTCCTTTCCAGGTCACTGGTGCCTATGTCCAGCATCACTGTGCAAGAGGCGGGGAACACCCTGGACAGGTCTCCAGTCCATCACAGGGACACGTAGAGACAAACAACCATTCACTCTCTCACTCACACCTAGAGACTACATATGTCAAACTCAAGAGACGTGGGCCAAATCTGGTCCTCCAAGATGATAACTTAAATGTAAAATATTGTATGTCTTCTAATTTTTCTTTAAAAAAATAAGATAAGTACATCATTTAGTATAGATTTCTCTTGGCAGCTGGCGAACGTTGAAGCCAGAAAGACGGTTGGATCATTCTGTCATTATTGATTCTGATATGGAAAGAACAGAACATTAAGTGAGACAGATCAACTTTTGTTGATGAACCTGGAACCAAGAAAAGATATCAGGTATCTGACTCGATCTAATGTATCAGCTGAAAGTGGCCCAGGCCCATACAAAGTTTTTTTTAATTTTGGCTCCTTTTGGTAACTGAGTGCTGCTGCCTCTCAGTGAGCAGGTCCCTGGTTCAAATCCCAGTCCAGGCACCTTTTTGGGTGGAGTTTGCATGTTCTCTCTGTGCATGCGTGGGTTTTCTCCGGGTGCTCCGGTTTCCTCCCACAGACCAAAAACATGCATGTTAGGCTGATTGGTAACTCTAAATTGTCTCTAGGTGCGAGTGAGAGAGTGAATGGTTGTTTGTCCCGTTTGTCTCTATGTGTCCCTATGATGGACTGGAGACCCGTCCAGGGTGTACTCTGCCCCTCGCACAGTGATTGCTGGACTTGGGCACCGGCGACCTCTGTGACCCAAAATGGAAAAAGTGGGTAAAAGATAATGGATGGATGATAACTGAGTTTGACACTCCTAAGTCACCAATCAACCTAACATGCATGTTTGTGAGGCGGCACAGAGGTGCAGTTGGTAGAGCTGCGGCTTCTCAGCAAGAAGGTCACTGGTTCAAATCCCAAGCAGGGGACCTTTCTGGGTGGTGTTTGCATGTTCTCTCCGTGCATGTGCAGGTTTTCTCAGAGTACTCCAGTTTCCTCCCACAGACCAAAAACATGCATGTTAGTCTGATTGGTAACTCTAAATTGTCCCTAGGTGTGAGAGAGAGAGTGAATGTTTGTCTCGTTTGTCTCTACGTGTCCCTGTGATGGACTGGAGACCTGTCCAGGGTGTCCCCTGTCTCTTGCACAGTGACTGCTGGGCATGGGCACCAGTGACCCCTTTGACCAGAAAAGGAAGAAGCGAGTAAAAATAATGGATGGATGGATAACTACAAGGCTGCATGGAGTTGGTGCTTACTGTATAGTGCATTTACATTTCAGTTCTTTGATTAAGTTATAATGATTATATAAAAAAAACTTTTAAATAATTTTCTTCATAACTCATATTAATACAGAAAAATAAAGTGCACAAATTAATTTTAGTCTGCAACATTATTAAAGTCTGATGCTTTTACACCCTTTCTTTTGAATTTACAACTATAATGTTTATTCTTTATTATTTCTTTACATTCTGTATCTGGAGAGTAGCTCGAACTTATTATCTGGATCTTCTTGTTCAGCCATGGTGCCGTCCTCAGATAATTCCCATTTCATGCGAAACTGGAGGAAACTGTTTTTCCAGGAACTGTCCAGATGACCTGACTGAAAAATTGTTGGATTGTATACATGGATTATTGAGCATGGACTTTTTTGTTTTTCCAGCTGTTCACTCAGACAGGTTGTTGTGAAAACCCAGCAATCCTGTGAAACCATGGCAACATTGTATAACAATACACCTTGAGACTTTACCCCTCAAAGTTTATTCTAATCATCAGTCAAACATGAGATTAATCTGAATCTTATGGATGTTGGGATTAAGGATTTATTTCTTATTTTTACATGTTCTTCAGAAATTCTTTAACAGCCTTTAAAAGGGCAAAAACAAGAATGCTGAGCACTTTTTACGTTGCCATGTAGGAGGTATAATTAATGGATTTACTTCTGATGCAGCTTTTCATAACAATATGCCTTTCCCAAGATGTGCTGCATTTTTTTAATATAAAAATTTCTGTAAATTGCATGTGCAACTCATTTTTTAGCTTTATTTTTATATATATATATAATTTTGCAAATAAAAACATGTTACACATCAATACTTTATGGAACATGATTGAAATGGTTACAAAAGTGAGCAAGAAGCTCTGAGGGTGGCTTGATGTTTCCTCGGCAACAAAAGGTTTTGAAACATTTAAGCTTGGCTTTAGAAGACTTTCCTCTCAACAGATTACCTGATTCTTTCAATATAGGCAACTGGACTTCTTTGAGCTCTTTATGGTGGTTTGCTTTGTATTTAAAATAATTTCTTGTAAACATAAATGTGCAAGAATGAGATAAACTCCTGAGAGAACTGAAACATCTTTAAGAATCAAAGAAAGAAGTCCAGTTCATTTGATTCACATGAGTATCTAGCTTCATGTTCCTTAATTTCTATCTTTTTTTTAGTTAAAGCTATATTTTTAAGATGGAAAACTCCAACGCTAAATCATTAATTCTTCCTGAGTTCATAAATGTTTAAAAACTTTACTATAAAGCAATAGATGTGTGATAATCACTTGTTTCTTGTTGTTATTTTTGGTGACGTGTTTTTGCAGTATATTTCTAATCAAGCTCAAAGTGATGCACAACACAAACAGCAAGAGGAGTAGGAGATCGTACAAAAGTTTATTGTAGAAACATTTTTAAAAAACAACAGTGCACAAGTGCACAGCATGTATATATATATATATATAAAAACAGCATTGGCTTGTTCTGACAGATGGACCTAATGATAACACAAAATGGACTCAAATGACAACAGCAACAAAGACAGCATCTCATGGAAACCCTCATTATTCTCCCCACAGAAGAATGATCGGTTTATTCCAGTTCATCGACCATGTAGGACACAAAGAGATCACCGGCTGATACAGCGAGCACCTGCCTCCTTCTGAGCTAAGAAACAACAAAAACACCATAACAATAAAAGAAGCAAAGGGACAGATCCACGTGCTCACTGACATCATCATCATCACGGGAGGATGCTGAATCTCATGCCAGTATCGACGCAAACACCAGGATCCCCCTCTCAGTCTCTCAATCATACAATCAGGTAATAAATACTTTAAATAGAGGCTTAAATATGTTTTAATCTGATGTGGCCTGAATGTGAAACAAACGAGTGCAAAACATTAGAGTTGAGTGGAAGAATGTCTCTCTCAGGACGCACAGGCCTGCGGGACTCTTACTGCCATTCAGAAAGTCAGCAGCAGCAGAATCAAGGCCCCGCTGAGGAAATCAGTTCAGCCAGTGAAGTGGAAAGACATGACAATAAGGAGAAGTCCATTCTGTGTGCGCTCACTGGCCCCATCCTCCGATGCCAATCTCCTGCTTGTAGCGCTTGGTTAGACAGTCGGCCTGCTGCGTGAGTTTGGACAGCACCCCTTGCAGTCCGGTCAGGTGGAACTGGAACTGCTTCTCCAAGTCCTCGTCCTCCTCTTCCTCCTCCTCCGATGATGATAGCGAGGATGAGGATACGGAGGACGAGGTGGACATAGAGGAGTGGGAGCGGACGAGCTTCATGCCCTCTTTGCGCCTCTCGTCGGCCGCGGCGCGTCGGACCCCCCACTCGATGTCCCTGCGGATGGACTTGAGCAGCTGGTAGTAGCTGTACATGTCCCCCTCGTCCTCGACCGCCTTCAGGGAGCCCTGGCCCGGCTCCTTGTCCTCCTCCAGCAGCGGGACGTCCCGCAGCAAGCTGGGCACCATGATGGTCTGATCCATGTTGTTCACGGCGCCGATGAAGCGGTTCATGGCGTTGAAGAGGGAGTTCTTCTGGTTCGGGGTTTCTGACAGCTGCATCATCATCTTCACGTGTAGTTTGTGTTTTAGCTTTCTTTATCTTCAGAGGAGCTGCTTCTGTCGTGCTTTCTGATCCGTGAGAGGACGCTTCCTTTATATGCTCAGCTCCAAAGAGGCGGCGCTGGATGGAAACCTGTTCGTCCGGTTCTTATCCAAGAGTAACCCGAGCCAAATGACCTGAAGTAGCACGCACAGGCGAGAACAGGACAGCAGAGAGACTTTGGCACACTTTGTAGGACCGCAGTTTTGTAGGAGAGGAGTGGCAGATCTCTGCAGAACATGCAGTCGGATTCAGAGAAACAGCTGCAGGAATCACGATGAAGGAATAAACTAAATACAGCCGGAGCGCGCAAACTTTCTTTTTGCTTCCCCTCACATAGTCCGGGACCCTCAGGGTTTTATTTTATTACGACAGTCCTGATTTGCCTTCCGGTGCAGAGACGTGAAAGAGATTACATCAACATTTTATACATTCTGTTCTCATGAACAGAAACTGCTGATGCGCAAAGGTGGCGCGGCTCCTCATGAATATTCATCCAGAGAGCGCATCGGCCCATCTCTGCCTCTGTCCCTCAGCCAATCAGGTGGCGACGTTTTGTGTTTGAAGGCAGGGTTCCAAAAAAAAAAAAAAGACTGAACACTGTCATTGTGCTAGAAATAAAAGTGAAGTTGTTAAAGATGCGGAATTGTTGTAAATCATCCTCGTTCTGAGGGAACATGCGTCAGCAGCTGTGTGAGATCCTGCATGCGTGTTCATGAATGTCACGGTGACTGATCCTGCTGTCACAGGTCAGAGGTCAGAGGAGGCCATGGTTTGAAACCACTTTGAAGTCGTTTCTGATCTTCTCTTCTGAACCTAGTCAGCTTGGACTGAATAAAGTTTTTAACATAAATTTCTCTTGAAATTTCACAAGAGATAATTTTTTTTTTAATGGGGTTCTGTTGTTTTGGGGGTCATTCGCAATAAACATCTTACCTGTTGTAGATAGTTCTTTCAGCAATCTCAGTTTGGAGAAACAGTTTAAAGGGGGCTTCACACTTTAATGGCCAAAATCCAATGTTTTGCTGGTATGCAACTCATATAAGATGTTTTTTATGACTGTCTGAATTGTGATGTCACATTTCATCTGATCTTTAATTTAAATAGGGGTGTGCAGATCTATCCAAGCATTGATTTTATCAACACCAAAGTCATGCAATGTGAAGCTAGGAACTCTACACGTCTTCAGCTACACAATAATCAGTGGTCCAGGGCTTTTTTCTTTCTTTTTTTAATTTACTCTTTAGATTTACTGAGAATCTACACCAACATGTAGCATTAGATTAGGAATTTTCTATGTTCAGTGCGTCGCTCTCATTCCAAAAGTATAATTATGTACCAGGGTGGGTGGAAGAACAAGAAGAAACAAGAATGGTGATAACTTCTGAATTGCTAACATATTCTCATAGCATCCATATTTACTTCCGTCACCACAGCGATGACGTTTGTTGTACATCCACTTTGCTTCAGGGTTGTAGACTGTTCACACAGGAGTCTGATGGCAGTCACATCTGAATTACTTTGTGAACAGTCACGCAAAGAAATTGGATCTGAATATTAAAACCTGCAGTGCTTAATTCTGACCGGACTGAGAAGCTAACAGCTAGTCCAAGCAGCAGCTCCTGTCTCAAAACTGTTACATTCATCCATGTGAAGGCTATTATTTATTATTATTATTTACTTTTATGTCATCATAAGGTTCAAGGTTATTGTATTATAAATTAAAAAATATGTCTGTCAAAAGTGCTTCAGGTTGCACCAAACGTGTCTATCTGCACTTGTAAAAGACTGATTTTGAAATCATGTAATGCAAAAGTAATAATGGTGTAAAAGTTTATAAAATAAAACAGCTAAAACATTTGTTTTAAGATGACACCAATCTACTTTGGTCTGAGCTGTGTTCAGACTGGCTGTTAGCTCATCAACCTAGTCAGAATTAAACTCTGTTTTTACAAACTGAGATTGTTCAAAGAGCTATCTACAGCAGGTAAGATAATAACTAGTCACATTGTTTTTACTGGATCTTACTTCAACAAATCTGAGCTATAGCATTTACATTGTTTGTTGTAAAATCTGCTAACTGTTAAATGACTGAAGTATAGTAATAACTAACATTTTAGCATTTTTTTAACCTCTATTGGATTAAGCTTTGTCTTATTTATATTGCTTATTTGTTCAAATTTGCTTGGAAAACATAATAAGAAATATTAAAAATAAATATGTGAAGCATCCACTTTGAGCAAGTGTCCAAATACAAACCAAAGTACTGCATATGTTATTTCTTTAAGTTTTGTTTTCAACAATTTTTATCATCCTTTAAAGCTGATTAACATCTCAAAATCTCAAAAAAGAGCTCAGCTACAGCCCCAAATCCCAAATGAGTTGAACAGGAGGTGCCACGGATGCATTCCCGTCTACCTGGAGGCAGTGCCCAAGTGCCTGACCACAGAGATCTTGGAGATAGTGGGGAAACGTGGCTCTTGACAAGCGGGAGGATCGAGATTGTCTTCCAGCACCTGCAGTTAAGTCCGCGGTGATGAGGGGCTCGGCAGGCTGCTGGGAGAACGTCGCACGGGAGGAGTTCTGCCCTGCATTCAGGCAGTCCTGCTGCCCAAGCGGACCGAGAGGTCTGCTGGGTCTGAGTGGATGGATCAGCATCTGTGGCCAGTTTCTTCAGATCTGCTGTGGATGGACTGTTACAAGAGATCCTTCCTGCCCAAAGCCATCAGCATCTATAGCAACTCTTAATGAAACCAGGATGATGAGTTACAACAACAATTAATTTCCCTTTGGGATTAATGTAGTATTTTTGAATTTGAATTGAATTCGAAAGTGGTCAGCAGTTTCTGAAGGCCTTTAAAAGTTTGTCTTTGGACTTTTCCTGTTTTTTTTGTTTGTTTGTATTTTCTGTCACGTTCTTGTAGGTGACCCTGACAACCCGTTGTGAAACGTGCGTTTAAGAACTAGGGAAAGAGGACATAAACAATAGTTTTAGTTCTAAAACTTTTCCCTCAACAGAAGAACAGTATCTGAAATTTGTGCAGATCTTACACTTTGATTTAAATGAAGGGGCTCAAATTTTAGTTTTTGTGACTGGCTGTTGGTAACAAACCAAAAAAAGTCTGGTTAAGATTGTTCCATGGTGCAGATAAAGAACTTCCTTTGCATAGTATTTGTGTAAAGTCCCTCAATCGACATCCAGCAAATGTCCAAGCTATTAAAAGGTGCAGGTGTTCCTTTCACCGTCTCACTTGCAGTCTGGTCTGGTTGTTTCCTGTCAGGGGAAGCTGCAGCGCTGACTGCCTTTGCAGATTACAGCTAAACCCAAAGTGTTGCACCAGCCAGCCCCCTGTAGTGACAGTGGACAGCTGAGTCTCCCTCCTGCCTCAGCTGCTGGTAAACACGGGGACTCCCACATGTTCTCTGCTCCAGAAATAACCCCAGCAGTACTTGTTACAGTTACACTGCTGAAACGTGAGCTCGAGTAAACACTTCTAGTCAAATCGAAACGCTAGACGATTGTTTTTTGACTCGTGTTTGGCGGTAAATGGAGGTATGCTGGTCACAGACAGTACCAGGTCCATGGCACGGTGAGGGATGAGCTCTCGGGCCTGACACGAAGCAGGACAGGATGACAGCTGGCTAGACCGAGACTATGAGCTCACGGCACGGCTTGTTCCACATGCAAACAAATGAATCAGTGTTCAAACATTGTTGCTCAGCGAGAACGGCGGGAAATGCAAACAGAAACAGCAAAACCTGCAGAGTGAGTTCATCCCATTCTGTGAGTGTCATTCACCTCCTGTCACCCACGTATGGCATCCATATTTACTTTTGTTTTATTTATTCAAATTGGCTGGTATCTCAACTCCCCACCCTGAAGCAAGTGGCTGGAAAAATGCATCATATTGATGCTAAACATCAAAAGTGAAGCGGCTAACTCTTATCTGCAAAAATATATATGAAATATTAGGAGTAAGGCAGTCATCTGGACAATTGTTGTGGTTAATCGTCTGATTGTGGCTGATCAAAATTATTCCCTCAGGAAATGCAAGTCACATTTAAACTTTCAGAACCGAGGTTTAGATCAAAACCATCCTACGATGAGAAGGAATGTCTTTTCACCTTTGATGGCAGGTGATAAGTAAAAAAAAGCAAACTGAAATAGATTTTTGATGCACTAAAGATTGTAAAAAAAAATAGAATAAACAAAAACTCGTTAGCATACTGCTATCTTAAAACACCTTTGAGTTTTTATTATTCTTGTAGACAACAGTTTGAGTAACTCTCAATGTGCCTGGACTAGTTTTGTGCTCTGAAAAAAAAAATGCAACAACCTGTTTCCTTCTGGTGACGTCTTTCTTTCCTGTATAATTCGTCTCGGAGCTCCTGAGACTGGAAGTCCTGCTGAAGAACAAAGCCGAACGAGGAGGGCCGCTAAACAAGAATAACTTGCATACTTCTTGGAAACTGACGTGCTGCGATGAGAATGATCCTTTAAAAAGAAATGTGCAGCCATCATTAAATCTATTATGACCATTTAAATGTAATTAATGAGCTAATTATTTTAAAACTGCAGACGTTACATATTCTGCACATGTGAATCGTTGCTGAAGGGCTCCAATTAGCTGGTGAAGTTAAAACAAGGAGCTCAAAGACACCAAATGAAGCTGAATCTAAAAGCAGCGGAACGACGACTAAAAGCTAAAAGTAGTAAAATGTTAGTTAAAAGGTAAAAGCAGCAAAACACTATAAGTTCAGCTAGCTGAAAGCAGCAAAAGGCTAGCTGAAAGCTAATAATAAACCTAAAGCAGAGCTTGCTGAAGCAGATTTTTAAGAGAAAATGCTTTAAAGGAAACTGGAAAGATCTTTATGTATTTCTATGTGGAATTTATATAATAAAAAAAAAGGTAAATATTTTAAAAAGTATAAACGTTACTTATACCAAAAGTCATAGCACACAGTGGTGTAGTCTATGGGATATGCAGACTTACAGCGTATAACTTTACCCACTTAAAAGTGCCCAATGAAACGTGACATATTAATGGGCTCGTGTCATTGTCAACACATTTGGAACATTTTATGGACACAATGAGTTGGTTCAACCTGTTTTTTTGTA